GGGCCCTGGCGGGCGCCGCCGCCGCCCGCGGGGCCGGGCTCCTGCGCGGCGGCCAGACTGGCGACTGCATCCCACTGAGGCCGAACGCCAATCCGAAGGGGGCGCGGTGCGATGGCCGATCGGCTGGGCTCGCCCCGGAGGGGGTTTTCAGCGCGGCGCCGCGCAGATGCCACCCGCCGCGGCGAGGGCAGCCTACTGGCGGCAGACGCGGGCCGTCCTCGGCCGCGAGGAGCGGCCCTTCGAGAGAGCCAGGACGGCGACGAGGCTGTCATATAGGAATGGAACAGGATGGCCATGCTGTTTCGAATCACGAAGAACGTGTTTCAGTGCGTGGACGAGCGCCCTTCCCTCCAAAGCTGCAATGTGCCCCCCCCGCTCCCAGGCCCCGCTGGAGATGACAGCCCACTCGCCCGAGACATGCTCCACCTCCAAGGGCTCGAAGGTAGTGGGCGGCTGCTGCTGTCGAGCTTCACGAGGCGACTCGAGGTCGACGGGCCCGACGACAACAGGCTGCTGTTGCCTTCGAGGTTCGACCGACGCGCTGCTGATCTCCTGTTGACGATGGGTTTCGTCGAAGCCGGCTCCTGAACTCTCCCCGAGCCTCTGCGCCGCACTTTTGTCAAAGTCGCGCTCGCGCACCCCTCGGCCCCACTCAAGGAGTCCGCGCGCGAACTCAACCCGGCCACTCTGCGCGCGGGTCCGCCTGGGCCAGCGGCGCGACGCCCATGGCCGGCTGCAGCTCCCGGCGCGCGCGGGGGCACCGCCCGCGCGGGACCTCCCCCGCCGCGGCGGTGAAGCGGCACGCGGTCGAAAAAGATCGACGGGGGCGGCCGCCTCGCCATGGAGAGGAACGCGCGCCCCACCGCCTGCTTCACCTGCTGGGCCGAGACCTTCGGCATGGCCAGCAGCGCCCGCGCGGCGAGGATCAAGCGCCAGGCTCTCCGAGGCGTCGGAAAGACAGCGCCCCTCCCGCCGTCGATCGCCCAGCCCGGCAGCTGCGCGTGGAGGGCGTGGACAGGGAGACCGCTCTCGCGCAGCTCTGCGACTGCATAGCCTTCATCCGCTCGGTGGCGTCGCGATCCAGCGAGAGCGAGGCGAAATTGTCGACGTCGCCGACTCCGGCACCCGCTGACAGACGCCCGGCGCGTGGGTCCATCCCATGGGCAGCGCCGCGAGTCGCGGCCACAGCAGCCGAGACCGCCGCTGCCCGCGGTCGGCACCGCGACCCAGCCCCCGCGCGTCCATCGGCGGGGGCGCGAAGAATGGGCGCCGAGCGAGCGGCAGCCCCACGTTGTAGAGCGCGTCCGGTGTCCGCCGAGGCGATCCACAGGTTGGCGCCGTCGGGCAGCTCGACCGCCGCCGGCGCCACGCCCGTGGCCAGGTGCACATCGGCGGGCGTGCCGAACCAGAAGTTGGCGGGCCGGGCGTCGACGACGAGCCGCTGGCGCCCGCTCTTCTTGGGCGCGCTGAAAAGACCAACCTCGTCGATCACCTCGCCGGGGTCGCTGACTATTGATCGATGACTCCAGCGTCGAGCAGACGAAACCAGGGCTGCGTGCCGACGGCGGCCACGAATAATAGGATCCATGTAGGGCTTCTTAAAGCCAGCGTTCACTTTCCGCTGCAAAACTTCGGTCTTTGGCAAGACCTTGCTTGAAGTCTCGCGATGGGCGGGGTCGAAAACCTCGGGCTCCAATGGCCGCTCCAGCGCCGCGGGGCGGCTGCCCGAAGGCGGCGACGACAGCCGGGGAACGTCCATCGCCTCCGTCTTGGTCGACAGCGAGCCGTCGTGGGACAGCAGCCCGGAGCTCCTGCAGGGCCGCCATATAGGCTGGAGGTCGGCCGGCGGGGGGCCCAACTGCAAGACGGACTCGGCAACCCGCGCCAGGCAGCGCTGCTGCGCCAGGGTCGCGTCGTCCTGCAGTCCAGGGCCGCCGGCCCCCCCGGCGCCGCTGAGGCCGTTGAGCGACTCCGCCGCCTGCCGGACGAGCCGCGGCGCAGAGGCCGCCCGCCGCGCTCGTCTCCGCGCGCCGCGCGAAATCCCGCTAGCCAGCCCGCCGGGGTCAGCAGCAGCGGGCGCGGGCAGCGGGGCGAGGTCCCGCTGCCGCTCCGCGCCCGCGCCGCCGCGCCTGCGATTCACATCCTCGACGTCGCAGGCGGGCCGCCGGGGCGGGCCCGGTTCCCGCGGCGCCCGGGGGGGCTAGGCTAGGAGGCCCCCCCAGGCAAGATGACTTCAGGACTCCGCGCCTCCGGCCTTGGCCCCGGAGGCAGCCTTCGCTTCCTCCCGCAGCTTGCGGGCGCTCTCCTCGCGCTGGCCGGCGCGCTCGAGCTCCTTCCCAACTGCGTCCAGCAAGGCGGGGCAGACCATGCTGCTCGGGCGGCTGGAAGCGCCCGTGCCACCCATGAAGGCGCTGATCTCCTCCTGCGGCAGCCTCTACTGGGCCGGGTCCTGCTCCCTCTGCTTCTCCTCCAAGAACTGCTCGACCAGCTGCATCTTCCTGACCAGCCGCTCCGCTCCGACGAGGTTCGCCACGTTGGCCCCGTCGATCGTCGCCAGATGCTCGACCGCCGTGCTGAGGGTGTGATGCTCGGCCACCCCGTAGTCTGAAGCACTGAGCCGTTTGCGCGCCTTCCAACTCTCGCGGTGCTGAATCGGTCCGCCCTCGCGAAGCAGCCAGGCCACGCGCCAGGCACCTGACCGCGGCATGAGCACGAACTGGGGGTCGGTCACCCTTCGCGCGGACCCGGTCACTGAGAGTCGGCTGCGCGGGGTACCACTGCCAGTTACGCGAGCCAGAGTCCGAGCGTCGGACCCACGCCACTTCGCGGTGAAGCCGCCTCGGCGCCAGCCCTCCAGGATGAAGGCCACGGCCGAGATGCCTCCCGCGAGCGTGACGACTGCCCGCCTGCCAGCCCGCGCGCTGCCAACACGATGCCCGTGATCGGCCCCGCCTGCGCGACTGAACCGAAAGGCAAGGAGTCAACGTCCTCCGCGAGCACCCAGGTCCAGCCAGGCGGCGCCTCGCCGTTCGCCCCGAGCGGGGGGCCGCCGTGCTCCTTCCAGTCAGGGCCGCGGGGCACCTGTGGCCATCGGCACGCCGGCCGCGGGGGCAGCCAGCGCGGCGGGCGGCAGCGCGACGAGGGGAGGCGGCCCAGCGGAGGCGACCGCGGCTGGGGCGACGGGCCCCACGGCGGCCAGCGCAGCACCAGCAGCCCCAGGAGCAGCGGCAGCCCCCACCAGCGGCCCGCCTGCAGCAGCTGGGTGGCCCGCGCCAGGCAGCAGGCCGCCGCTCATGGGGATGAGCGTGCCGCCAGGTGGAACGGGCACCCCAGGGTGGCGGCGGGCGAACTCGGCATCCGCCTCGGCGGTGGCGGCGGCGAGCCACGCGGCCTCGCGAGCGGCGGATGGGGCGCGCCCGAAGCTATACGTGGCGTCGGCCGTGATCTCAGGCGGAGGAGGCCAGCGTGCCGCCTAGAAACGCACCGCTGCTATGTCGGGCCCTGCCGCCAGCAGCCTTTCGGTGTAGACCATGTCATCGGGCGCCACGATGATGACATCATCCGTGAGTGCCAGTTGGCCCGCTACCCTCCTCTGGTGGAAGAGCGGCGCGCCGCCTAAGTTGTACAGCACCCACGCCCAGGCTTCCGTCATCGCCGGCCGCTGCCAGAGCCAGGCGCGCGTGCGGCCCGCTCGGCGCCTCCGCCAGCAGCGCCCCAGCGGACGTCACTGGGCCCCGAGCTTCCGCCGAGAAGCGCAACGGGCCCCAGACCCGCAGCGCCCCGATGGCGGCCAGCGCGCCGAAGGATGCGCCGGCCACGCCCGCCGCCAGGCAAGCCAAGGTGACTGCGACTGCGGTCGCGCCCACTGTAGCCCAACGGCGCGGCGGGCAGGCGGGGCACGCGGGGCACGGCGGCACGTCGATGGCGGGGCAGCGAGCCACCCAAACCTGCAGCGCGGGAGCGCCCCAGCGATCCAGCGCCCTGAGCAAGCCCTCCGGGAGGCCCAACCAAACCATAAAAGCTCGAGAGCCGAAGGTTACGGAAAGCAAGCTTCGGCCTCTCTTCCCCCTCTAAAGGCATTCAACTTCACTAGACAAGACCATCATCATCACCATCATCATCATCATCACCATCATCAGCATCATCGTCATCATCATCACCATCATCACCATCATCATCATCTTCATCATCACCATAATCATCATCATCATCATCGTCGTCATCGTCATCGTTATCGTCATCGTTATCACCATCATCATCATGGATCTCTCAAGCCTGATGACACGAGGTGCCACACGTGACGGCCTCCCGTGCGCCCTCGAACAGTCGCCACCCAGAATGCTGGGCTGGCATGGTGGCGGGACTTGCCGCAGGCAGGTGGAATATGGTCCAAGCCTCGAAACATGGTTTATCAAAAATAAGATTTCGAGGTCTCCCCTGGAACCCAGAACATGCCGGTCCCCACCATACGACCCTAGATGCACTTCGGGCCCCCGGAACATCGCCTTTCAAGCCTTGGCCCCCCTGAGGCCCCGGGCCCACGGCCGCCGAACAAGCCGAAACTCGTTGGCCAGAATGGGTGCAAGCTGGCCTCACCGCAGTTAGGTCGCGAAAAAATCCAAGCCCCAAACACGCACACATAAAGATAACAAGGAACACGCCCTCGGATATCCAGGCGCATCGAATCGGAATCGAATCGGATCAAAATCGAGTCGAAATCATATCGATTTTCCACCTGCACCGAATGCGATCGAAATCACATCGGAATCGGACGCGCTCGCGTCGGATCGACCCGACCGAATCGGAATTGCCACTGGTAGTAAGGCCCCGTCGAGCCCAACAATTTGTCGTCTTGTAGATATTGGTTTGCCTGCCAAGCAGACTTGGTACCAGCAACACTTGTTCGGGACAGGGCGTTCCGAGTCATGTGCTGTAGTAGCCCCCCACCCCAGTCCAGCCCCTCTCCTCCGCAAGCACTGTGGCGGAATTCGCGCGGTAACGCAAATGAATTGATGCAGCCGTCATCATCCAAGTCCCACTTTTCTGGCCCGCAAGTTGCGGGTACCATGAAACAGTATTCCAGGACGGGCATCTGCAGGTCACATTCGTTCTGTGTAAGGCAACCATCCGAATTGAGGTCGTAAGTCCCGAAGCAGGCCGGCACGTGACACGAGCAAGGGATTCCTGGAGCTTCAAACTTGTAAGTTGGCTCAGGTGTCGGCTCGGGTGTCGGCTCCAGTGTCGGGGACGCTGTCGGCGGAGGAGAGGGTTGTGGTCGCCCCTTATCATGGCGGTCCTCCGTGATCGGTGCATGCGCTGGCGGCGCTGCAACCTTCGCAGCTCTGGCTTCCTCGGCAACTTTCGCAACCTGTGCCGTGGCCCTGGCCTCTGAGGCAGCCTTGACGGCCTCGTCTGCAGCCTTGGTTTCCGCGGCAGCCTTCGTCACCTCCTCTGCAGCTTCGGCCTCCGCGGCAGCCTCCTCGGCAGCCCTGGCCTCCGCGAGAGCCTTCGCCGCCTCCTCTGCGGCTTTGGCTGCTGCTGCTGCCTTTGCCGCTGCGGCCTTCCTCGCCGCCTCCATGGCCGCCTTGGCCTCTGCGGCAACCTTCGCCGCCTCCTCTGCCGCATTGGCCGCCGCAGCAGCCTTCTCGGCAGCCTCGGAATACTCGAAAATCTTTGCCTTCTCGTCTGCAGTCCTGGCATCTGGTACAACCTTCGCCACTGCGGCATTCCTCGCCTGCTCCTCGGCCGCTTTGGCCTCTGCGGCAGCCTTCGCCGCCTCCTCTGCAGCTCTGGCCTCCTCTGCAGCTTTCGCAGCCTGTTCCGCAGCACTGTCCTTTGAAGCAACATTGGCGGCCTCGTCTGCAGCCTTGGTCTCCGCGGCAGCCTTCGCCGCCTCCTCTGCCGCCTTGGCCTCCACAGCAACCTTCTCGGTATCCTTGGCCTCCGCGAAAGCCTTCGCCGCCTGCTCTGCGGCCCTGGCATCCTCTGCAGCCTTTGCCGCTGCTGCATCCCACGCCGCGTCGTCGACCGCCCTGGCCTCCGCGGCAGCCTTCGCCACTTCCTCTGCATGGCGCTGGTACTGCATTGCGTTGGCGCTGGCCTCCATGATTTTCCGCCACACGGCAGAGCTCTCCCCGCTAATCACGTCTTCGGGCAAGCCCTTGTCCCCGTCCTCCACGATTTTGGCGGCGGCAGTCGATCGTACCAACACAGCTGCGGCCAGGGCGCGGAGAGGAACCATCATACCAGGCATGTTGTCTTGGCGAGACAAATCTTCACCAAATGGAGCGGCTAATAGTGAAGTAAGATAAGTGTGAATACGTGAACTGGTTGCGACTAATGAGCCGAAATCTTAAGCCAAAGTGGACGCGGAGATGGGGGCAAATCATTATGTGGGGAAGGCATCTTGCGCGTCTTGTTGGGCCGCCTCGGAGCATTCTGAGACGCTTACGGGGCCTTGTATGGGCATTCTGGCGGCCAGAGTAAACCTTCAAGAAGCCCCCTCGACGCTATCGGGGGCTCCAGCAAGCTCGACCAGGCTCCCCCTCTAACACCCACCATCCACTTTTTCCCGGCGGAGCCGGGTGAAATTCCGTGCCCGCCGGCTGATTGATGACTGACTGAACGTCAGGGGGCCAGCTCGGGAGACACATTTCAAACCGCCCGCGGGAGCGCAACCCGGCGGCGCAACCGCAACCGCGACCAGGCGACACATTTCAAAGCGCCCGCGGGAGCGCGCAACCGCAACCGCAACCGCAACCGGGCGACACATTTCAAAGCGCCCGCGGGCGCGCAACCGCAACCGCAACCGGGCGACACATTTCAAAGCGCCCGCGGGAGCGCGCAACCGCAACCGCAACCGCAACCGGGCGACACATTTCAAAGCGCCCGCGGGCGCGCAACCGCAACCCGCAACCGCAACTGGGCGACACATTTCAAAACGCCCGCGGGAAGCGCGCAACCGCAACCGCAACCGCAACCGGGCGACACATTTCAAAGCGCCCGCGGGCGCGCAAACGCAACCCAACAACCGCAACCGGGCGACACATTTCAAAAGCGCCCGCGGGAGCGCGCAACCGCAACCGCAACCGCAACCGGGCGACACATTTCAAAGCGCCCGCGGGCGCGCAACCGCAACCGCAACCGCAACGGGCGACACATTTCAAAAGCGCGGGCGCGCAACCGCAACCCAACAACCGCAACCGGGCGACACATTTCAAAGCGCCCGCGGGAGCGCGCAACCGCAACCGCAACCGCAACCGGGCGACACATTTCAAAGCGCCCGCGGGCGCGCAACCGCAACCGCAACCGGGCGACACATTTCAAAGCGCCCAGCGGGAGCGCGCAACCGCAACCGCAACCGCAACCGGGCGACACATTTCAAAGCGCCCGCGGGCGCGCAACCGCAACCGCGACCGCAACCGGGCGACACATTTCAAAACGCCCGCGTGAGCGCGCAACCGCAACCGCAACCCGGCGACATATTTCAAAGCGCCCGCGGGCTCGCAACCGCAACCGCAACCGGGCGACACATTTCAAAGCGCCCGCGGGAGCGCGCAACCGCAACCGCAACCGCAACCGGGCGACACATTTCAAAGCGCCCGCGGGGCGCGCAACCGCAACCCAACAACCGCAACCGGGCGACACATTTCAAAGCGCCCGCGGGAGCGCGCAACCGCAACCGCAACCGCAACCGGGCGACACATTTCAAAGCGCCCGCGGGCGCGCAACCGCAACCCAACCGGGCGACACATTTCAAAGCGCCCGCGGGAGCGCGCAACCGCAACCCAACAACCGCAACCGGGCGACACATTTCAATACGCCCGCGGGAGCGCGCAACCGCAACCCAACAACCGCAACCGGGCGACACATTTCAAAGCGCCCGCGGGCGCGCAAACGCAACCGCAACCGGGCGACACATTTCAAAGCGCCCGCGGGAGCGCGCAATCGCAACCGCAACCGCAACCGGGCGACACATTTCAAAGCGCCCGCGGGCGCGCAACCGCAACCGCAACCGGGCGAGGAGGAGGGGGACGACGACGACGACGACGACGACGACCAGGACGACGACGACGACGAGGGCGAGGAGGAAGACTGAGCAACAGCAGGGGGATGGGCTGGGGGGGGGCAGGGGGCGGGGGACGACAAGGAGAAGAAGGAGGAGCCACTGGCGGAGGGCCCGACGACGAGCCCCCGCGTGGCCCGCGGTTCTCCGCCGGGACATTGCAGCGGGGAATCCCTGTTCCACGCTGCTGCCTTTGATTTTCCGATTCCCGCTCATCGCTCCTCCCAATTGCCCATTTCTGTTCCACCCTCTCTCGACGTCATTCCCTCCCTCCACTTCTGTCTTGAGAATTGCCCTCTTGCTGTGCTTCACTTTTCCTCGCCATTCCCATTCTTCATTGTTGTCATCACGCTTGTCCGTCTCATCGCCCTGGGAAGAGGAGGAGGAGGAGGAGGAGGAGGAGGAGGAGGAGGAGGAGGAGGAAGAGCAGAGGGAGGAGGAGGAGGAGGAGGAGGAGGAGGAGGAGGAGGAGGACAAGGAAGAGTGATGAGAAGGCATTGGGCCGAGGCCCAACCCAATCTGTTCAGGGGGCAAGAGCAGTGACACCACCACTAACAGCGACGAGCTGTAGTGGGAACTGTAACCAGGAGCGGAAGAGCAACATGAAGTAGAACATTAGCTGTGGTAGGAGAAGCCTTGAGGCACGCACCGCACAAAACTGTAGTATGGTCTGTATTCGGAAATGAAATAAGGTGCCAACAGGATCTTTAATTTGAGGGAGTTTCTGTGGAACTCACGTCATCCTAACCCCCGGCGCGCGAGGCAATGGCCCCGCCGACAGCCCCCCTTGTTCCGTTTCTGGCGATCCAAAATCCAGCGAATCCGGCAAATCCGACGAAACTGCCGACGAATTCCAAACCGGCGCCTTCGCGTGGGACATCCTCAGAAAAACCGGACCCCAGAGCCTCCCCCCTGAGGAGGCCCTCAGAGGCCCACTGTTCCGTTTCCAACGAGATCCGGGCAATCCGGCGAATCCAGCGAATCTGGCGAGTCCAAGCCGGCGCCCTCGCATGAAGCATCCTCAGGAAGACTGGCCCACGTAACCTCCCCAAAGAAGCCCTCAGAGGCCCCCCCCTTCGTTTCTGGTGAGATCCGGCGAATCTGGCGACGAATTTCAAACCGGCGCTTGGGTGGAACATCCTTAGAAAAACTGGCCCCCGGAGCCTCCCCGAGGAGGCCCTCTGGCGCTCTCGCTCTTGTCGCCAGATTTGGCGACGAATTCCCAACTGGCGCTCTCGCGTGGGAGGGACATCCTCAGAAAAACAAGCCTCCAGAGCCTCCCCAAGGAGGCCCTCAGAAGCCCCCCTGTTCCGTTTCCGGTGAGATCCGGAAAATCCGGCGACGAATTCCAAACCAGCGCCCTCGCGTGGGACATCCTCAGAAAAACCGGCCCCTGGAGCCTCCCCAAGGAGGCTCTCAGAAACTTCCCTGTTCGGTTTCTGGTGAGATCCGGGCAATCTGGCGAGATCCGGGAACTCCAGAGAATCTGGCGACGAATTCCAAACTGGCGCCCTCGCGTGGGACATCCTCAGAAGAACCGGCCCCGGAGCCTCTCCAAGGAGGCTCTCAGAGACTTCCGTTTCAGGCGAGATCCGGGAAATCCCCGGGGTGGGGGAGGAGGGGGGACGAGGAGGGAAAGGAGGAGAGGGAGGAGGACGACGAGGTGAAGGAGGACGAGGGGAGTTGGAGGAGGAGGAGGAGGAGAAGGAGGAGGAGCAGGAGGAGGAGAAGGAGGAGTTGGAGTTGGAGGCGGGGGGGCGAACGGGAGCGGGGCTGGCTTCGGGGAGCGAGGAGGAGGAGGAGGAGGAGCAGGAGGAGGGGGAGGCGGTGGAGATTGCCAGCATGGCAGCGGGGCGCGCCACGCCCGCCCGATCCTCATCCTCCTGATTTTCATTCTCGCCATACTCGCTCTCCTGGCCCTCCTTCTCCACACAGATGTACATCCTCACCCTTCGGCTCCACGCTCGCCTGATCCTCACCCGCATGACCCTCACTCTCCTAATCCTCTCCCTCGCGAAACTCGCCCTCCTGATCCTCACGCTCATCCTCATCTCGATTATCGTAGCACCCCGCAATTGCGGATAAGAGTGAGGGGGCGGGCGCGGGCGACGCGGGCGTCGTCAAGCCGGCGGACCTCGTGGCCCCCACCTTCCCTGTCGATGGCGCTCCTCCTCCTCCTCCTCCTCCGCCTCCCTCCTCCTCCTCCTCTTCCTCGTCCTCGTCCTCGTCCTCATCGTCATCGTCGTCCTCCTCCTCCACCTCGTCCTTCTCCTCCTCCTCCTCTTCTTCCTCGTCCTCCCTCTCCCCCCCTCGTCCTTCCATCATCGTCCTCCCATTGTCGTCATGTTCCTCCTCGTCGTCGTCCTCTTCCCCCCTCCCGATCCTCCCCCCTCCTCCTTTTCGTTTTCGTCGTCGTCGTCGTCGTCGTCGTCGTCGTCTCCTCCTCCTCCTCCTCCTCTCTCCTCTCCTCCTCCTCCTCCTCCTCCTCCTCCTCCTCCTCCTCTCCTCCTCCTCCTCCTCCTCCTCCTCCCTCCTCCTCCTCCTCCTCCTGCAAAAGCAGCCCGCCGCAGGCGCCGAAAAATTGGTTTGTACACTGAACGTGGTTTGGGTCGTGGGTGGGCCGCGGTTCTCCACCGGGAACGAATGCAAAAGATGCCCGCCGCAGGCGCCGAAACAATTTGGTTTGTACCCTGAACGTGGTCGCGGGTGGGCCGCGGTCTCTCCACCTAGAACGAATGCAAAAGATGCCCGCCGCAGGCGCCGAAAAATGTGGTTTGTACTCTGAATGTGGTTTGGGTCGCGCGGGCGACGCGGGCGTCGTCAAGCCGGCGGACCTCGTGGCCCCCACCTTCCCTGTCGATGGCGCTCTCCTCCTCCTCCTCCTCCTCCTCCTCCTCCTCCTCCTCCTCCGCCTCCTCCTCCTCCTCCTCCTCTTCCTCGTCCTCGTCCTCGTCCTCATCGTCATCGTCGTCCTCCTCCTCCACCTCGTCCTTCTCCTCCTCCTCCTCTTCTTCCTCGTCCTCCCTCTCCCCCCCTCGTCCTTCCATCATCGTCCTCCCATTGTCGTCATGTTCCTCCTCGTCGTCCTCCTCTTCCCCCCCTCCCGATCCTCCCCCTCCTCCTTTTCGTCGTCGTCGTCGTCGTCGTCGTCGTCGTCGTCGTCGTCGTCGTCGTCGTCGTCGTCGTCG